TGGCTTCCAGAACTCCATTTCACCAACACAATCCTTGAATCTCACCCACTATCTTTGTCAGTTTTATACTACCCTGAGTGATGCAAATACACTGTGATGGTGGAATATAAATTTAATGAATAAAAATACTTAATTAAAGTATTTATTCAGTTGCAATAACAATTCACGGCCAACAAGTCTCCAATATATTATATCAATACGTCCTCAAGGAAAAGGAGACAGAATTTATCAATTCTGAGTCCGATAAACATGGTGGGCAAAAATCAATGTTTTTTAAATCAAATTGATTTAAATTTTAAAAAATGTTATTTAACTCTGCCAAAAATCTGATTTTTATATCATGATTTAAATCAATCTTATTTAAGATAAATCTGCCCTGCTGATAAACCCATTTTATCTAAGATTGTAGAAAAGCTGGTCCCTGATCATTATTTAATGCTATTTGTTACACAGATGTATCACACCCGCTGCTCATAACCATATAGTGAAAATAATGAGAAAAAGACTTAGTAAAATAAGACCAATAATGTGAAAGGATGACTCAAAACAGTATTTCACTGTACTGACAGCTTAATCAAACAGAAGAATCTTGACTGCCAGTCTACATTGAAGAAGGAAGACAAAAATCCACAACCAGGTTGCTGCTGTTGACTGTCTTGATTATCCAGCTCCTTAGCATTTTCTAGGTAGCAGGATAAATAACAGCAGTTCCAATCACTACCATAAACTAGGACAATGGTAAGATACCATTAACCAAATAAGTAGAAGTTGCACGCTTCATAAAGCAATTTAAGAGAAGATGTACTTGGAGAGGCACCACATTTAAGATGACTAACACAGCTACGTCTTTGAAAACCACACCATGCCCAGAAGCTACACCAAGACATCTGTGCACAAGCTAACACTTAACACCTTGGGTAATATTTGCAAGATCTGGCTTCTAAGGAAACACATTGAGAAAGCATAATTAAATACAACTTATATGTATATCGACGTACATTTGGATGTTCACTAAGAACTTCTTTAGCCTGCAGTTATTCTGTAAATGGATTTTACAATAGAGTCTAAAACAACTTTATGAGGTCACAATCACCAGGCACCAGGGCCTTTTAAGGTCAAGTGCTACTGGACTTCTATTTTGGTGTTTTGGGTCTGACGGCTGCAGTAACAACTTAGTACTGTACAAAGGCTAGATTGTCATGTGCTGAATGGTTGGTGAATGCAATCAAAAAGCCAAAGCAATAATCCTTGGCTGTAGCTTTTTACCAGTATGTAAGAGGGATTAATCGGCAACAGTTCAAATACCCATGAATTGTGCCTGGGAGCAGGAAGATAAATATAAAGACCAGCAACCCTACAGGTATCAAGTGGAGGGGGGGGGGACAACCTCTCCTATAGTCTATTAATAGCAACCTCCCAAGCTTCTCACTAAGCATTACACTATCTCAAATGGAGAGAAAAATCAAGTAAATGGCAGCTTGCAAGACATAACAGCTGTTCTTTTACAATGAGTACTGTTCTGGACAGCTCAAGCTACCTCTTCAGCCTAGTTCTCATTTCCAGCAGGATGATAAACCTATTTCTGGACTGAATAACTTCACACACCAGTCAGGCACTCATGTGACAAGATGAGGGCTTCCATACCCTGACATATTGCTTCTATGCATGGAATATGTGGCTTCAACCCTGAAATAATATACTCCAAACACAAATTTCGTCCATGATACAATGGCTAGATGCTGAACTTAAAAATGGGAAACCTCCATTTATATAAATGAATGATTGTAAGGTTCCCTGGGTAGTACACATTTATGTATTTATTCATTATGTATTCATTTGTTACTCTGATATCCCACTTTTCTTCCAATAAGCTCAGGACAGCATACACAGCTCTCTTCCTCCCCACTATATCTTCACAACAACCCCATAAAGTAGCTATGGCTAAGACCATGGGGATCTGAGTCCAGATCTTCCAAATCTTAGTTCAAGACTGTTATCTGCTACACCACTTTGGATATGTAAAATATTTTACTGTAGCTTACCTTAAATGTTTGTACAGCAGGTAAAAAGCATCTGAAGTTTTCCCAAGCTTGTGCACAATATACATCTTTGCTAGCTACAAAGGCCATGTGTGCGTGTGGTGTCCGCTGATAGGTTTGAGTTATTCATAAACACACTGTTCATCTACATCTTGCGGTACCAAGATGAGGGACTGCTGGAAGGAAGGGCATTAAAGCCTCTCTGACCTCCCAGTGATTCCAACTCAAGATTCATATTTCTCTGTTTCTAACCACTGGAAAAGAATCAGCAATCTCAGTTGTTTTAGGATCAATGAATGGTAGAAAACCCCATCACCCAGCTGCAACCAGATCAGTTTTCCCACTCTCACTAGCAGCACGGAGACAGTTATCTCTTGGTAGCATTCAAATACTCTACTGGGGCAAAGGAACTTAAGGCTAGTCCGACTGATATCACTGTCACAGCATTGCTAAGGACTTGGCAGCAGGCAAAAGCTGATCAGCAGGGCAAGGAGAATGAGCCCCAGCATCACACACCCTGCACAAGGTAGACCAAATGCCACAAGCAGCCAGCAAGGTCCTCACCCCTGCTCTGCATAATGGTAAACATGACCTTGCTGTCTACTTCTGCCCCTTCATGCACACGAATCCAAATCAGTAAACAGCAGAGCTGAACTGTCAATGCACTGCACTCAGTTAATGCACTACACATGAAAGGATAGGAATATACATCTCATCTCCAGCCCAGCTAAAACATACTAAGTGAAACCCTCACATATCAGTGGTCTCTAAATCCTAGCTTCAAATTAATAGAGGGATAAGGGAAAACCAACTACTCCCACACTTAATTTAATCTGTAATTCCCCTGGGTGTAACATTTCCTAAAGAAGACAGTGTTTGAAAATCCATCTGACATTCTCCATAGTTTGAGCTGGTATTTAGCACAATTCATTGACTACATCTCAAAATAGCTTCCCACGTAACAGAATTTACCAAAAAAAAAACCTACTCCTTCTGTCTCTCCCAGGGTTAAAGTACATTTGGCACAGTGAAAAGAACAATCAATCAATTGCTGCGCCTCTCACTCTTACTTGATTGAGCCATACCTTACAGGCACACTTATGAAAAAAGAAAAAAAAAGATGACAAAAATTAAAATCCCTTCTGCCAGCCGAGCTGCTCAGAATACAACATGTGAACACATGCACGCTATTCTACAAACTTCTCACGGGAAACAGCATTTTTTGGTGTAGTATAAGGAGTGCCTGATAACACACAGAACAATCCCAGTAGGGGAGAAAAGAGTCGTCCCATCCAGCACAAGGGTGGCTTGGGATAAAAGAGGCTTCAATGTTTCAGAGTTCACCACCTACCCATCACTGCAGTGTGCAAGAAACGTCTACAACAAGAAGTCATGCTAAAACAAATCGACTCAAAAACAGTTGGCGAGATGTTACAAAGCCACCTTGCCTGGTGCCTTTTCCCAACTGCAAACGTTAAAACCCCAAGTTCTCAAGACTAATCCTACTCACCCACTCAAGAGTTCCCACTCAAGTCATGTTGCAACACAGGCATCCCCACTGTACTGCAAACTCTTCACAGACAAGGGCTTTAGGCATGTACACATATTTTGCACCTGATCAAATGGCAAATAATTTTGCTGCTGATAAAGAGCACCCTCTGGATACCAAAATCGATTCCCCACCACTCGGCACCTTTATGCCAATTCTTTATAAACAAAGAGCAGACTAGAGCAAGCTAGCTGTTACAAGACCAACATTGGCCCTTGAGTTCCCTTATGGGACTCATTTACTCCCAAATCCAAGCCTGAAAACCAAATTGCCAAATACTGTAACGGGATTTTGATTTCAGACAGAAGGGCTTCCTGCTGCAGGCAAATCTAAGACGTTTACAGAAACAACAAAGCTGCTTCTGACCATGCACAGAGGGCATCTTCCTAATAACTACATCATAACCAACCCCACAAAGCCTGGATTTCAGAGCGCCTATATACCCCGTCAAGGTTAAGCCAGCTCTTCTCTGAAATCCAACACTGCCAACGAAGCATGATCAAAACCTTCCCTCCCACCAAGGCTCTGAAAATGCCAGTTTATGGAAAGCAGCTGGAGGGGGCGGCGGGGGGGGGGAAGGAGAAAGACAAAACGCGGAGCGATTCTGCGACTTGCATCGTATCCCGCACAATCCTCAGGCTTTGGCGAGCCGCCTGCAGTCCGGGTCTGCCTTTGCTGCCGTTGTTCCGCACAGAGGCAAACCGCATGTTTTGAGGAGTGGAGGTAAGGGGTCACACCTAATGCGGATCAGTTAACCCCGGTTCGGTACAACTACTGTACCCGCCACACCACCACGATGCTGGGAAGAGAGGCGCTTCTCCCACTTACTCCGTGCCTGGCGCGGAGGCTCTTGCTCCGCTTTATGGACTCCGCAGCCAGAGAAGGCACAAAATATAGCCTGCCTTCCTCGCCCCCGCTGGACCAGCGAGGACTACAGAAGCACGTCCACGTGTTATAAGGGCAAACAATGATCAGACATCCGAAACGCAAGCCCTGCAGCCACCCCCGTGCCTTTTCCCTTCCTTCACCCGCAGCAAAGCGCAGCCGTCGGTCGCTGCGCCGGCGGAGGGCGCTGCCCTGGCCATTCTCTAAGAGGGGAAAATGGAAGGAGAGAGACAAAAACGTGGGGTGGGGGGGGGCTCTGATCCTATAAAAACGAATCCTAATAAACGGCTCCTGTAAATGAATTACTATTTTTTTAAAAAAAAGTAACCACCCTTTTGCAGTCGGAAGCCTGACTGCGCTCGCTTCCACGCAAGATCACCTTTTCCCAGCAAAGGACACCCCCGCCCCCGACTTTTCAAGTAGGGTTACGCGCCTGGCCAGATGGATTCCGATCCCCGGAGGTGGAATCCGGTCGCCCCAAGAGAACCCTCCCCTCTCCTCCCCTCGGTGCATTGCGCCTCCCGTACTTGCCCTCCGCTCATGGCTGGTGAGGGGAGCGAGCTGGCTGGTGCTCCGTCCCGAAGGAAGCTCGGCGGCGCAGAGCGGTGCTGCTAAGCCATGGGGCGAAGCCTGGTTGCAAAGGGGGCGGCTCGCCGGGCCAAGGTGCGCTCAGTCTCCTCGGCTCTGGAAGCTCCGCGGGGCTCTAAGAAGCTCTCCTCGCCCGGCTTGACCCAGAGAGGAAGCAGCAGCAGCGCCCGCCGCGAGTGGCGCGCACACACACACCTTGGCAGCGATTCCCCGCCGCCGCCGCGGCTTTACATGAAGTATGTAAGGAAAGTTGTCAAAAAATGTAAATTGCAGGGGAGGTGTAGAAGTCTTTGTTTTGGTTTCTTAGCAATTGAAATGTGAAAACCAAAAGATGAGGTGAATAATACAGGAGCTTGGTAAAACCATAGATAGTAAAGGAAAGAGTGTATCTTAGTGCTAGAACACACATGTTAAGTGCAGATGCCTGGTTCAGTTGATGGTATCATCAGATGATGTAGGGAGACAATACTGCTTGAAAAAAGAGCCAGTGTGGGTCAGTTTTAGGCTAGATGTGCTAACATTCTGATTCTGTATAAGACCTCTTTCTGTTTTGCTAGGAGATGTGAACTATGCCAGATATCTTAATTTATGGCATTTCGTGCCAGGAGTGTTTGTTAATCCTGCCTTACATTGTTTTTCAGAAGTTAGGTATCCAGGAACAACAAGAGCCAGAAGCAGGGCTGCTGTAGAAGTCAGTATTACTTCTTAATTATTTTTTTAAGGAGGTTGTGGTAATTTAGGTCAGTTAAATAGTGAACCAAACTATTTTTAGGAAGAAATATGATCCAGTTGGGGTGACATGTTCTTGTAGCTTTAATTTTGATGCAGTTTAAGACTCTATAATTTAACATATGTAAGTAATCTATCTTATTTAGAAAGAGTTGGCAAAATCTACTAAGGCCATGCTGCAAAGCAAATTGGATACAGCCTTTGGACCATATGTTTGACATCTACATGCTTGAGATCTTAATTCCTTTGCAAGCATGCAGTTCAAACATAAAGTCAGTGATAAACATGCAGGCCACTATGTGCACGTAAATTCATCACCTTCTTCCCTGCTTAGTTCTCCTCTTGAAACATGTGGACCATATTGTGACCAAGAATGGGACCTTTTTAAAATGTCATCCATTTCTAGCCTAAAATGCCCATCAGCTAAGTGTAGTAAGAGACAGGAAGCAGTTAAATGATTCAGGTTAAACCATCACCACTTTAACAAAATAAAGAGCTTCAGACTTGGATTATAGTAGCATTTGTTCCTCAAAGAGGTTGGAGCTTTGTATTTATCTTCTCAGGGAAATGAATACGAATCTTGCCACCACAGGTGGCCAGTCTGATTGGACCCTGCCCCTAAAGTAGGTGTCCACTTACTGTTTGTGGTGTGGCACACAGAGCCATCATTTTTTGTACTGCGCCAGTTGCGGAAGTTGCCTGGCTGGGGCATCCTCGCCTTTCTGCGAACAGCTGAACAAGGAGGCTTGTCATCCTGCCCCCTCACTGGATTGGTCGGCAGTGGAGGGAGGCAGGGACACCCCAGATGGGCTACTTCCGCAATCGTTGCAGCATGAGAGATAACAGCCCTGCGTGCTGCGCCACAAGTGGTTAGTGGACGCCAGATTTGGGGTAGGTGGGTGGGTCCAATCAGGCTGACCTCCTGTGGTGGTGAGCGTTTGAATATGTCTTGATGATGCTTCTGTTTACCATCTTCTACTATGCTACAGCGGTGCCTCGACTTATGACCATAATCCATTCCAGAAGATGGACATAACTCGAAATGGTCGTAAGTTGAAGCACCATTTCCCATAGAAATGCAATTACAGTAATCTGTTCTGGCCAAAGAAAAAAATCACTGCAAGACTCATTGGAAACCCGATTAATCCCTTCCGGCCGAAGGGGAAAAGAAAAAAGAAAAGCAATCAGGCATGCAAGGCCCATTGGAAATGCACAGAAAACAAACGGAGCAGATCAGAAATGCACAGAGAACAAAGGGGGCAGGTCGGAAATGCAAAGAAAACAAAGGAAAAAGTAAGGGAAGCATTCAGGACCCATCGGTAATGGGGGGAAACCCCCAAAAGCAACCAAACCCCCCAAGAGACATCAGAAATGGGGGAAAGCCAAAAAACAAACAAATCCCCCAAGACCCATCGGAAATGGGGGGAACCCAAAAAGCAGCCAAACCCTCAAGACCCATCAGAAATGGGGAGGGGAAGACAAACCCCCCAAGACTCATCGGAAATGGAGAAAAACACTCCAAAAAGCAACAAAACCCCCAAGACCTATTAGAAATGGGGGGAACCAAACAAACAAACAACCCCCCCAAACTCATCACAGCAAAGAAACATACCCCCCACACACACTGCAAAACCACCCAGAACAGTTTTTAACAAGCAGAAAACAGCACCTTACCTTACCAGGCAGCCCGAAGCCTCCCTGCAAACACACACACACATGCTCACTCAGAAACAGAAGGAGAGTGTCCAAAGAAGCACCCTAGTTGCCACCAACAGTTAGAAATTTTAATTTACCACCTTTTCCCCCTTTTTCTGTTCAAGTGGAAGCTCCGGTCGCAAGTAGAAGCAAAATTTTGCAGCCAGAGCTGGTCGTAACTCAAAATGGTTGTAAGTAGGGACGTTCATAAGTCAAGGCACCAGTGTATTTGTTTCATCCTTTTCAGTATTTATATATTTCTTGTTTTTAGCTTTAAATCTTGTCTTTGAATGATGTAAGCTGCCTTGGGTCCTTTAAGGAGAAAGGCAGGGTAGAAATGTTCTAAATAAAATAAACAATTAAATAGACAGAGTTGAAGGATCACAGGAACAGCTGTTGGATCATATCTGGAAGGCTGTGTGTTGCTCATTCCTGACCTGAAGGCAAAGCTTTCTAGTGCAACCTTATGTCTAACTTATTCAGAAATAAAACTCCTTGTCTTTATCGGAATGTGAGTTCCAGTAGAGTGTGTGTACAGAATTGCAACTTGATACATTAGATTGTGGGTGGGCTAGAGCCTCTTTTATCAGATCTGTGAACTGTTTGTTGCTTTCGCTCAGGTAGAAGGTTATTTGCATGTACCAATGAGAGCTGTTGGGAGGCGGAGCCAGAGGAACTAGAAGGGCGGGGTGAGTCAGAGTCTAGTCAGTTCAATTGGAGAGACAGAGAAGAGGAAAAGAGTTTAGGTGTTTGAGGCAGAGAGAGTGTTTAAGGAGGGATTAGTCAGAGTGTGACCTGTATAAATTAAGATAGAAGAGGGTAAAGTAAAATACTGAAGCTTTGTGTGACTTTAAGAATGTGCTTAAGACCTATTCCTAAAACAACTTGTAATCAATAAACCTGTTTCCGTTTAAAAGTTCAATACTGGATGGACCTCAGTCTTTCATAGGAAATGTAGGTTGAGAAAGAGATCAACTGGTGGCAGCGTGTTAAAGGGCATGTTGGGATACACCCATGAGCCCTGTATTTGGTAAACAAGCAGGGGCCACGGGGTTAACATCACACTGTTATCCACAAACAGAGTAAAGTACAGTAAATCTGCAAATCGTTACGGCGCTAAAATAAGATTCTTGGTTTTGCTACAACTGACTGGTAGTTTTGAAATTTATTCTCAAATAATTAAAAGGCAAACACACAAGTTTACAGTGGCTGATTAATTCCCCTTATAATGTGAATCATATGCACTTACTCAAAAGTAAATCCCAGCGGCACTTGCTTCATTCTTAACTAAACACAGAATTGCATTGTTACTGCAAACACAAACAAGCAAAGTGTTTCCATGGAGGTCTTGGCTACAGAAGAAACTAACCCAGAACTCTGCTTTCTTTTTACCAAGGTACTCTGGGAGTTGTAGTTTTGTAAGAGTATAAGACTTATGGAGAAGAAACCTTTCTGCCACAAATCCTACGGTCCCCTATTAAAAATATTGTACTGTACATCTTGATACCCCAATTAAAATGTTAGTCAAATGCATTCAGAAACATTAAATGAACATTTTTCAGTTCATTCTCCTAAACACAGTCCCTGTCTTAATACCATTATACTGCTGGAGGTCAAAGAGGCGCATGCCAAAATTTTATGCAAGAGACAGGAATTAATTTCCACAAAAGGACAGCATAGAAGAGCAATTATAAGAACAGCTTGTATAACTTTTTAAAATTGGTTTGCTGTTTCTCTGCTTGAAACAGCATGCATAACATGCTTACAAAAAACAAATTCCCTACTCAGCTTCTTTTTACTCCTCTATCTCATGATAAAAGCTAGCAAAAAAATTGTGACTAGCTATTATCTCAACAAAGCTGCCAGTACTCTGTGCTGACTCAGCTAAAGTAATGGTAGTGTTATGAGATGTACTCGTCTTGCTTCCTGTGAGATGACTGGCCAAGAAATGCTTAAAAGTACACAAATGTTCCTTGACAACTGAGAATCTCCCTCTAGCTTTTGGGGTGTGGCAGTAGACATGTTAGGACCTCCATTCCATTAAACAAAGGGGGCTCTGTTTTTGAAGGCCCTTCTATGCAATGTTGGGGAGTCCTCTTCTCCCCCAAGCCCTTTACTTAGCAGGAGACCCGGACTCTCTGTGTAGCATTTTCAGGAGGGTTGAAGGGATGCCAGGAGAATACGACTGTAAGGAAGTCCACTTGCACCAGCAAAGTTGCACATACTTAAAATCTCAGTTTGGGAAGGGAATACTCTTTCTCCAGCTAGTTAGAGGAGGCAAAAGCCAGAATCCTCTTGGTGCTCATGTACAGTTAGTGACTTGCCAGGGCTAGTTGGAAGTAATTGATGAAGTGTTAGAGAGTGTCTCAGTCTTGTTCCTTGTTACATACCCAACTGCACACATTGTTAATTAGCCACAATTAACTATGGGAAGTTAGCATTCCAGTCAAAGAAAAGACTCAGCTTGTTTAATAATTTTAATTCAAAGAAAGGGAGCCCAAAGCTGTTAGCTAAGATCAAGTTAGGTAAAGCAGCACTGTAGCTTTAGGAGGTGAAACAGTGGCTTCCTGGGAATATTCTGCTGTCTATTTTTAGGAATCCATTTGCTTCCACTCTGATTTTCATGCATATTTATATGAACTGCTGGATAGCTCAGTGGTCTATGTATCTGGCTGTAGAAGTTGGGAGTTAAATTCCACTATGCCTCCTTGACAGAGGCTGGACTCTATGATCCATAGGATCCTTCCCAACTCTGCAGTTC